GGGAGGGGAGGGGAGGAGAGGAGGAGGGAGGGGAGGAGAGGAGAGAAGATGGGAAGGGAGGAGAGGAGAGGAGAGAAGAGAAAAAGAAGAGAAGATGGGAGGGAAGGAGAGGAGAGAAGAGAAACTGATGGAAACTATTCAAGGAGAGAAGCAACCTAGAACTTCCTAACTGTGAGAGCAATTAATCAGTGGAACAACTTGCCTCTAGAACAGGGGTCCCCAACCCTGGTACCGGGCTGCGGCATGCCAGCAACTGGTCCGCACAAACAAGCGGAGCCCCATTTGCAGAATGCAGGCAGCACACAAAACCACACACTCTGCGGGTCCGTGGAAAAACCTCTCTCCACTTGGCAACTGGAATGCATTTAGTACAGCTGCAGCACCTGAGGCCATGTGATCGCCATGATTCGCCTGACAACTTTAGAGATTTGCTTAACAATCACGGCAAAAAAAGGCCATCAAAGTGGCCGCGACACCCTTCACAACCGCACAACAGCTTAGTGATAGAAATTCCGGTCCCAGTTTTGGTTGTTAAGTCGAGGACTTGCCCCTCAAGCTTTTGAGATATGGACAAATATTTTGTAAAAAAAAACAAAAAAAACCCCCCACAAAAATACTATACCTGAATTCCCCGAGCAGTGAGGTGGTCAAATAAGGATTTCCTCATTAACAATCTGCAAACATGGCAAAGGGAACATTGTCATTCCATGTTCAACGTCCAACTGTCCTTTCCCTCCAAAATAGAGACCGATAAAAAAACCCTGCAAGCCTACTTTTTCCTCAAAATAGCACTTTTTTCCTCAAAATAGCACTTTAATAGCTTATAAAAGTTAACACAATGCATTTGGGCCACTCCACGGGTGGGGATCGAAAAAAGTCAAGATGGCGGCTGTGAGCAAGGCCCGGCTCCATTTTGCTGGCCGCAGAACTGCAGCAGCCATCTTGGTTTTTTGACACCCCCCCCCCCACATACAGAGATGCTTCTACCTGTTGAAATAACTGTCGTCAGCAGCACAGTGGACACAGATTAACGCAAGATGATGAAGAACAGACTTTTTTAAAAAATGGAAGATGAATTTTATTGAGTCAGACGTTACGAGGTTTTCAGGCAGAGAAAGTCTTGTCCATCCATCAGTTGTTAACAGACCTTGAAGAAACTCGGTTTCCCTTGGCCTATCTTTCGTCATAAACGTGTGTTGGGAGCGGGAACAGAGTCTCTGGGCATGTCACAAGTTGAGCTAACCCCTGACATGACTGCAGCGAAGACTGAAGTGCAACAGCTTCCAAACATGGGCAGTTTGGAAACGTGGGCAGTTTAGAGCCAGTTTGGTCTAGTGCAGGGGTAGGCCATCTTGGCTCTTTTATGACTCGTGGACTTCAACTCCCAGAATTCCTGAGCCAACCATGCTGAGGAAAAATGGAGAGGTTTCCATGCTGAGCCGTGCTGGCTCAGGAATTCTGGGAGTTGAAGTCCACGAGTCATAAAAGAGCCAAGGTTGCCTACCCCTGGTCTAGTGGCTAAGGCACCAGGCTAGAAAGCAGGAGACAGTGAGTTCTAGTCACACCCTAGCATGAAAACTGACTGGATTACTTTGGGCCCATCACCAGGAGATTGTGAGTTCTAGTCACACCATAGAATGAAAGCTGGCTGAGTGACTTTGGGCCAATCACCAAGAGATTGTGAGTTCTAGTCACACCATAGCAGGAAAGCTGGCTGGGTGACTTTGGGCCCATCACCAGGAGGTTGTGAGTTCTAGTCACACCATAGCATGAAAACTGACTGGATTACTTTGGGCCCATCACCAGGAGATTGTGAGTTCTAGTCACACCATAGCAGGAAAGCTGGCTGGGTGACCTTGGGCCAATCACCAGGAGATTGTGAGATCTAGTCACACCTTAGGCATGAATGCCGACTGGATGACTTTGGGCCAATCGCTAGGAGACAGTGAGTTCTAGTCCTGCCTTAGGCATGAAAGCCAGCTGGGGAACTTTGGGCCAGTCTCTCTCTCTCTCAGCCCACCCCACCCCACACGGTTGTTATTGTGGAGAAAATAGGGTAGTATAAAAGTCTGTTGGACCCTGAGGTCTTTGCAGAAATAATGAGGGCAGGATACAACTAAATAAAAAAAAAAATACAGGCAGGCAGACAGAAGGGGCGTTGTCTTACCTGAACGCCTTTTCTCAGCACGGAGATGGAGGATCCACAGAATGGGTTGAGACTGTATTCCTGCCCAATCAGATCAAGTCAGCCAAAGTTGTCACGCCCCGTCCTGGTTTCCAGATCCCAGTCTTGACGCGAGCGTAACCATTGACTGACCAAGAACGTGCTGGCTCACAAACTAAATATCCTAGTTACTAGGACCCCCCAGAAATTGAGGGAGGGATGTGGATCCTCCATCTCCGTGCTGAGAAAAGGCGTTCAGGTAAGACAACGCCCCTTCTCCAGCACTGGAGATGGAGGATCCACCGAATGGGACCTACCAAAGCTTATAGTCCCTGAGGGTGGGAAATAGACCTTTCGGGAGTGACACTTTGGTGTACCACTTGTTGGAGAACCCTCCTGCCGAAGGAGGCTTCTGCTGAGGCAAATTTATCAATTTTGTAGTGACGAATGAATTGAGATGGTGAGGACCAAGTGGCCGCTCTGCAGACGTCTTCGATGGACGCTTGAGTGGCCCAGGCCGCAGTTGTAGACGCACTCCGTGTGGAGTGGGCTGTCACTCGTTGTGGAACCGGCAATGACTCTGCTTGATAAGCTCCAGTGATGCAAGCCCTAATCCACCTGCCGATCGTGGAAGAGGAGACCTTCCGACCCCTGGAGGAAGGGTGAAAGGACACAAACAGGGCCTCTGACTTACGGAAATCCGCTGTCCGTGAAATATAGTAACGGAGTGCCCTGTGGAGATCTAAGCAATGCCATTGCCGTTCCTGGGTACATGAAGGGTTAGGACAGAAGTCCGGGAGGATAATCTCCTGGGTCCTATGAAAAAGCTAGTTCACCTTCGGAACGAAGGTGGGATCAAGTCGGAGTACCACCCTGTCTGAATGGAATATGCAAAGGTCCTTGCGGACCGATAGAGCAGCCAGCTCGGAGATTCGTCGAGCTGATGTAATGGCCACCAAGAAAGCCACTTTGTGGGACAAGTGGCACAGGTTGCATGACGCCAAGGGCTCGAAAGGTGGCTTCATCAGGGCCCGAAGTACACGAGGCAGTTCCCAGGAAGGGTACCTATGCACTGTAGGTGGTCGGGATTTGGCTGCTCCTTTAAGGAAAGAGCGAACCAGCGGGTGGTGTCCTAAGGAACCTACGGATTCACAAGTGAGGACGGTAGAAAGAGCCGCTACTTGTCTGCGTAAGGTGTTAGGGGCCAGGCCCCTCTCCAGACCGTCCAACAAAAATTCCAGAATATGGGGAATAGTGAGTTGTGAGAGTGATAAGTGACGCCTGGAAAGCCAAGTACAAAAGTTTTTCCACGTGGCCTCATAAATGCGGTTCGTGGAAGGGCAACGGGAAGCCTGGATTACCTCAATTACCTTCACTGAACAAGACTGTTGTGACAAGTAAGAGCGCTCAAGTGCCAAACGGCTAACTGTAGCCATTGGGGATCCGGATGGGTGATCAACCCCTGGCTGAGCGATACCCTGTCCGGGGGAATTCGCCATGGTTCTGAGATGGAGAGGCTCATCAGGTCGGCGAACCAGGGCCTCCTTGGCCAATAAGGGGCTACCAACAGAATCTCCGCTTCCTCCCGGAGCAGTTTGCGTACCACCGCCGGGAGGAGAGGGAAAGGGGGGAATGCATAAAGCAGACCCCGGGGCCAAGCATTGCGGAGCGCATCCGTCTGTTCCGCACCGTGAGACGGGAATCGGGAGAAGAACCGTGGTAGTTGGGCATTGGCCGGGGACGCAAACAGGTCCACCAGCGGCAGGCCGAAGCGGTGACACGCCTCCTTGAAGACCCTCGGGTGGAGCTTCCACTCTGAGTGGTCTACTGTCGTCCTGCTCAACATGTCGGCCTGAGTATTGTCCTTCCCCGAGATGTGATCGGCTTTGATGGAAGCCAGATTGTGTTCCGCCCAGGTTCCCAGTAACATTGACTCATTGAGAAGAGATCGGGAACGAGTACCCCCCTGCCTGTTCACATGGGCTTTGGCCGTCACGTTGTCCGTGAGGACCAGCACGTGACGGTGTCGCACCAGGTCGCGGAAATGTCGTAGGGCTAGGTGTATAGCCCGAAGCTCCAGCCAATTTATATCGTGTCGAAGGTCCGAGTGGGACCAACGACCTTGTGTCCAATTTGATTGTAGGTGTGCACCCCAGCCAAACTGGCTGGCATCGGTTGTGAGTAGTGTCCGATCCGGTTCCTTGAACCGCGACCCTTTGAGCACGGCGGGGGACAGCCACCATGAGAAAGACCTCAGGACCTGATGTGTGAGCTTCACCCTCTGGTGAGAGGCGCTGAGGTTCTGCCTCTGAAAGGGAAGCAGAAACCACTGCAGTTCCCTGGAGTGAAGTCTGGACCATGGGACAATTGTGATCGTTGAGATCATTTGACCTAGTAGTTTTGATAAGCTGAGGACGGACGCTGTCCTTCCCCTGCGAATCTGGAGGATGGACTTTTTCAAATTGTCCCTGCGCTCCTGAGACAAATACACCCGACACTCCTTCGTGTCTATAATGGCCCCTAAATGCAGTAGTCTTGTAGTGGGGACCAAGTGGCTCTTGGGGAAGTTTACCGAGAACCCATGGTCCTGGAGCAGCTTTACCACCAGTTTGAGATCTGTCCCGGCGGCGTGGATGGAAGACGATTGGATCAGGATGTCGTCCAGATAACACTGGACCCTGACAGGTACCATCCTTAAGTGAGCTGCTAGGACCGCCAGGATCTTGGTAAACACCCTGGGAGCTGATGAAAGACCGAAGGGAAGGGCCTTGTATTGATAATGACGGCCCTTGTATACGAACCATAGGAAACTCCGGTGGGCGAGAGAGATGGGGACATGGAGGTATGCTTCCGTGAGGTCGATAGACGTCAGGAAGTCCCCCTTCCTTACGCTCCCTAAGATGGATCTGAGCGTCTGCATCTTGAATTTGCGATATACAAGATGATAATTTAAGGCCTTTAGGTCCAAAATGGCCCTCCATCCCCCTGACGCCTTTGGTACGACAAAGAGTATGGAGTAAAATCCCCGACCTATCTGGTCCTCCGGAACGGTTTCTATGGCTCGTATGTCCAGCAGATGCTGGATGGCTTCGCCCATCAGAGCCCTCTTGGCCTGATTTCGAGGGTATGGGCAAGAAATGAATCTGGTCGGTGGGACGGAGTTGAACTCCAGGTAAAGGCCTGAATTTATGGTTTTTAGGACCCATGCGTCCGTGGTGGTAGCCTCCCATTGGTGGGCGAACAGGGACAGTCTGCCCCCTATGGGAGGGACCGTCAGGGAGTCACCTGGAGCGACGGAAAGGCCGGCCGCTCCCTCGAAAGGGCCGCTTACCCTGAAACTGCTGCCTGGGTTTGGTTGCCTGTCGGTCATACTGCTTGTCCTGTCTGTCCTGTCTGGCCGGAAAGGGGCGGAAAGGTTGTGAGTAATTATACCTGTTCCCGGCCCGAAAGGATTGTCGACGGGAAAAATAATTTTGACGCTTCTCTGGTTTCTTGAGAATATGGCTAAGGACCTTACGCTTATCCTTATTCTCGGTGAGGTAGGGATTCAAAGCCTCGCCAAACAGTTTGCCTCCTTGGTATGGAGCCGCCGCCAGACGCCACTTAGACTTGGCATCCGCGTGCCAATGTTTGAGCCAAAGCATGCGGCGTCCCGAAATGTTGGATGCCATGGCCTTGGAGGCAAACTTGGAGGCTTGGAGAGTTGCATCTGATGCATATTCCAGGGCCGCCACCATCTTACTAAGTTCCTGTTGTGACTGAATGTCGTCTTCCGGGGTACGGGCTTGGAGCTGTTTAAGCCAACGGTGGGCAGCTCTGTTGAAAAAGGATGCCGAAGTGGCCGCTCTAATTGCCCAACCAGTCGCCTGGTGAGTCTTACGAAAGGCTAACTCACACGGTCATCCGCCTTGAGAGCATCAGAAACATCTCCCGCTATAGCGGTAGGGGAAACTAAGGGTCCAAAAGGTTCGTCCACAGCAGGCACCTCTAGGGCCTCCTCCAAGTCTTTGGCCACGTTGTAAAGTTTTTTGTCCGTGGCACTTGGGAGAGGAAGGGAAGCCGGAGATGCCCATTGTTTTTTGACAGCGGTCAAAAACATGGGGGGACAAGGAATCCGGTGTTGAGTTGTCACTGGCTCAGTAAAGTTAGGATCGAATTCTGAGTCAGGGGAAACCGTGACAGTTGACAAGGAGGACTCAGCTCCGGGTTGTGCTGTGGATGAGGCCTTGCGGAGTAAGGTCACAAAGGAGGAAGGGTTAAACATACCACTGAATGAAGGGGCCTGAGTAGAGGATTCCTCCTCTTCAGACATAGGGAACTCCTGCTCATTGTCTTGGGCCTGAAGAGACAACCCCTCAGAATATGAGGATCCAGAAGGGGAGGAGGGTGCATACTGAGTCTCAGGTTCTTGATCAATCATGGACAGATGATCACTACTTATCGGTCTAGGAGGCACGGCCCTTGCTTCAAGTGCTCGGTCAACCGCCTGCGCAATTAATAGGGCCAATCGCTCCTCTGAAGGGAAGGAAGGAGACTCAACTGGACGAAGCCCAGCTGCTGTGGGGGTGAAAGTAGCCTCCGGAGTTCCATGCTGTGTACGTGCAACTGATGTCAGGGGCATGTGGGCATAGGCCAGATCCTCAGTTTGGGGATTATCCATTCTAGCAATTTTTTGCGCCCTAGAGAATTCTTTTTCCAAGGCTTGGTGTCTCCTGTTAGCCTGTTTCTCTGCCCTCTTGGAGGTTTTGTTAGTAGATCTGACCTTATTTTTGGATGAGGTCTTATTAGATTCCTCCATAGGAGGTTGGGCAGAAGTTGAGGGGACCGCTGAAGCGGGGACAATACCCCTAGATGGAGGGTCAGTAGCCTCCATTCTCTGATAACACAGGGACTCGTGGGGACCCCCCGGTATCAAGAGAAATTCAGTCAACGGGAAGGACAGGCGCACTATCTGGTACGTCTGGAAACCCGGACACTGTAAGAGCAGCTGACTCCTTATGCGGACAGAACAGACACACAGCGGGTATACCTGGAATCCGCTCTGCTCAAAGAGGATAATAAAGGTGCTCTGTGGGACCACCTAATATCCTGAGGCCTAAAGGCAGGAGCACAGGAAGGTACTCCTCCGAGCCCAAACGATAATGAGGCCTAGATTGCCGCAGGAGACACCAAGACTGAGAAGGAGAAAACCCAAATAGTAGTTATAAGCCCAAACGCTGGTATTGTGAATGTAATTTAGGGATTTAGTACTGTTGAGGCCAGATCTGGACTCCCAGGCCTATGTGAGGGTATTTTTTTACTTGACCCTAAAATGGCAGCCAGAGCCCAAAATGGCGGCCTGACTGAGAAAGGGAGGCCCCCAAAATGTTGCTGGACTCGTTCCCCTGGGGATTGCAAGGCTCCACCGAGGAGAGTCCTCCTACGCGAAGTTGGCAAATTCAGCAACAAGCTGCTTGTGCAGCGTGGTCAGATGGCGGCTGCACGCGATAGCTGTCGAATTTACCAAGCTCCGAGGAGGCCCAGTTTCGCGGCCGCGCGTTCAAAATGGCGGCCGCGCCCGAATATCGGACACCGGCTCGCCGCGAAGCTCAAACGCGGGCGTAAACGGATATTAGTTGGGGCTAGGAGCCCACCAAAAGGGAGAAATGCCTCCAAAACTGCCCCCTTGAACCGAAAGGGTCCTAATTGCTCCGCGATCGCGCCGTTTTAAAAATGGCGGCCGCGCGCGCAAACAACAGTTGATGAAGCTGAGGGGAAGGCAGGTCCCCTACAGAACAGCACGCTGCCCGCCTCTTACGGGGCCTGCAACGCGGTTCCAAATCTCCGATCAGCGATGAATTTCTGATCGGGAGCCCGTTTGAACCGCGCGCGTGCTTGGAAGGAGTCTTTCGGTTATTAGGAAGCCGAGAGCTGCCGAATTCGGCGGGGCTTGTCCTGCTACCGAATAGATGTTTCTCGGAGCAGTTGTCTTTTAGGCCCTACCGGCGCCGGAGCCGCAGCCGCGAGCTCCGGAGTGTTCCCTGGGGTCTAACGGCCGTCAGACTACGGGAATTCAGCCACCTTGTCCTAAATTATTAAAGCTCCTGGGGGGAGGGAAGAGAGAAGGGGCCCCCTTCTAACTTCCTATGATCTTTTATTCTCCCCCCACTACAGAGCTAGGCAAAGGGTGGCTGAAAATAAGACAAATTTGGAAGAAATCCGAATTAATAGTCAAATGGAATAATAAAGTTTAGATGGAAGATCCACAAAATAGACTAGACTATACCTAAGAGCCAGAGTTGTACGTTCTGTCCTGGGCAAGATCAAGTCAAGACTGGGATCTGGAAACCAGGACGGGGCGTGACAACTTTGGCTGACTTGATCTGATTGGGCAGGAATACAGTCTCAACCCATTCTGTGGATCCTCCATCTCCAGTGCTGGAGAAGGATTTATTCTCTGCTCAGAGCAGGCTAACTTAGAAGGAGTCCTGGAATCCTGCAGAGATGCAACAGGCAGCCTCGTTGAGAGATCGGCCAACCCGCAAAAAGTAACCAATGAATCCGGGAAGCGGAGTGGATGCCTCTAGCACAGGGCCCGTGGCTTAGAAAAGAGACAATGATTACCCAGAAAGACAATGGGATGGGAGGAAATGATGGAGAAGGGAGAGAAGAAAGACAGAATGAAACCGAGAGCTCAAGAAAGAAGGGAACCTTACACGTCAATAAGCCATATGGTGAATCGCTGGCTCCTTGAAATCTTCTCTGAGTCTTTCTGTCTGAAATTAAAATAACAGAAGTGGCGCTTACAGGCAAGTCCTTGACTTACAACCATTCATTTAGTGACCGCTCAAAGGTACAACGGCACTGGGGAAAAAAAGTGACTTCAGACCGACTTACGGCTATTGAAACATCCCCAGGGTCATCTGACCAACATCCTGGTGCTTGGCAAGCGGCACGTATTTACCCTGACTCTAGAAAGCTCTGGGGTGATTTTCGATCAATAAAATAATCAATACAGGTAGTCCTCGACTTACGACCACAATTGAGCCCCAAATTGATGTTGTTAAGTGAGACATTTGTGCGGTGAATTTTGCCCCATTTAAAGATCTTCTTGCCAGAATTGTTAAGGGAATCACTCCAGTTGTTAAATTAGGAACACGGTTGCTAAGTGAATCCGGCTTCCCCCATCGACTTTGCTTGTCAGAAGGTCGCAAGTGCGGATCACATGATCTGGGACATGATCATGGACATGAATCCACTGCCAAGTGTCTGAATTTTGATCACGCGACCGTGGGGGGATGCCGTCGTAAGTGCGAAAAACGGTCGTAAAGTCGCTCATTTTCAGTGCCGCGGAAACTCTGAATGGTCACCAAGTGAACCGTCGTAAGTCGAGGACTGCCTGTACATCCATGATACAAGACTCGCTCGTTGCCGAAGCCGAACAGCCACTTACTTGAGGAAGATGGACGGCATGGGGATCTCCAAAAAGTCCTCCGTGATGGGAAAGAAAGGAAGAAGGCCAGTGTAGAAGAGACCGAGGAGAAGAAGGACACGGCGCAAGCAGAACAGGATGGGGATGTGGCTGTTCTGAAGGCAGAGAAACCCAGGGACATGGAGGGAAGGTTAATTAAATGACAGGCTTCCATTTTAGGGAATGTCGCTCAAAAATTCATCTGAGAATAACAGTGTAACAGAGTTGGAAGGGACCTTGGAGGTCTTCTAGTCCAGCCCCCCTGCTCAGGCAGGAAACCCTATACCAGGGGTCTTCAAACTTGGCCCTTTTATGACTTGTGGACTTCGACTCCCAGAATTCCTCAGCCAGGCACGCGATTCTGGGAGTTGAAGTCCACAAGTCATAAAAGGGCCAGGTTTGAAGACCCCTGCCCTACACCATTTCAAATAAATGGTTGTCCAATCTCTTCCTATGGAGCACCCACAACTTCCAGAGGCAGGTTGTTCCACTGATTAATCGTTCTAAATGTCAGGAAATTTCTCCTTAGTTCCAAGGTTGCTTCTCTCTTTGGTTAGTTTCCATCCGTTGCTTCTTAAACCCACCAGTTCTGATTCTCTCCCTCTGTTTGCTTGACGTCAGAGGCCATTTTGTTCTTTTTCTTTAAACAACCAAGGCCGAGTTGTTTGTGAGGTTTGTTCTATTTTGTTTACTCCGCTGAAGCCACAGTAAACGGAAACATGCTCTCGTCCCTGAACCTAATCCACTCACTGAATTAGGAAATTTCTCCTTAGTTCCAGGTTACTTCTCTCCTTGAGGCGTTTCCATCCGTTGCTTCTTGTGCTGCCCCTCAGGTGCTTTGGAGAACGGCATTTCATGTGGCGGGCTGTTCCGCTGGCTAACGCCTTGAACATTCGGGATGCTCTTCTTGTTGCCCAGCCTAAAACGCCTTCCTTTCTGCTTAAACCCACCGGTTCTGATTCTCTCCCTCTGTTTGCTTGACATCAGAGGCCATTTTGTTCTTTCTCTTCAAACAACCCAGGCCGAGTTGTTTCTGAGGTTTGTTCTATTTTGTTTACTCCGCTGAAGCCATAGTAAACGGAAACATGCTCTCGTCCCTGAACCTAATCCACCCACTGAATTAGGAAATTTCTCCTCAGTTCTAGGTTGCTTCTCTCTTTGAGGAGTTTCCATCCGTTGCTTCTTGTCCTGCCTTCAGGCGCTTTGGAGAATAGCTTGACTCCCTCTTCTCTGGGGCAGCCCCTGAGATACTGGAAGACTGCTATCATGTCACCCCCTAGTCCTGGCGTAGGCAACCTTGGCTCTTTTATGACTCGTGGACTTCAACTCCCAGAATTCCTGAGCCAGCATGGCTCAGCTTGGAAACCTCTCCCTTTTCCCTCAGCGTGGCTGGCTCAGGAATTCTGGGAGTTGAAGTCCACGAGTCATAAAAGAGCCAAGGTTGCCTACCCCTGCCGTAGTCCTTCCTTTCATTAAACTAATGAAGATACAAACCACCCACACAAACGTGTCATACATGGACATGGAAATTTAATCTGAGGCCTCCACAGGAACCCTCCATAAAAATGTACAGAAATTTTGGGCCCTACGTTAAAAAAAAAGGGAGGGTAAAACCAACAGGGCTATAATTGTATTTACCTCTTTGTGACACTTTTCCACAACCTCGTGGCTGACGCTGCCCCAAACCGTCAAATGTTCTCGTTTATACGAGCGAACCAATTCGGAAACCTAAGAACAATAGAATTTTTTTTAAAAAAACAACAATCTGATCTATCAGTTTGAGTGGGGTCCTACATTACTTGCTGAATTATCAATCTAGAGGTCTATGGAAATTCTTAAGTCATCCAGGTCATGGACTTTCTTGTATTCCCAACTTTTAGCCCACCTCTTTCTAGTAAGGATGCCTTAGACCAATACGTTTCTCAAGCATGACAACTTTAAGATGTGTGGACCTTGAACATCCAGCTTGGCTGGCTGGGGAATTCTGGGAGTTGAAGTCCACCCCCCCCCAAAACCTGCTGCCTGGGGAATTCTGGGAGTTGAAGTCCACCCATATTAAAGCATGCTGCCTGGGGAATTCTGGGAGTTGAAGTTCACTCATCTTAAAGCATGCTGTCTGCGGAATTCTGGGTATTGAAGTCCACCCATCTTAAAACCTGCTGGCTGGGGAATTCTGGGAGTTGAAGTCCACTCATCTTAAAGCATGCTGTCTGGGGAATTCTGGGAGTTGAAGTCCACTCATCTTAGAATAGAGCTGGAAGGGACCTTGGAGGTCTTCTAGTCCAGGCCCCCCCGCTCAAGCAGGAGGACCCATCTCAGACAAGTGACTGTCCAGTCTCTTCTTAAAAATCTCCAGTGATAGAGCACCCACAATTTCTGGAGGCAAGCTGTTCCACTGGTTAATTGTCCCTCAAGCATTCTGCCTGGGGAATTCTGGGAGTTGAAGTCCACTTATCGTAAGCTTGGGAAACACCAGTTTAGACTACAGCCATGAGGATAATGCGTTCCCCGCTTCTCCTGCCTGACCACCCTTGAGGAACCTGGCCACTGTTGCCCTCCCTTCAAAGCCATCATTGGCCCAGCGACAAGCGAGGAGAACCTAAAGGAGGAGGTGGAATGAGACTTACCTTCTTAATCAGCTGGTCATTGTTCACTTTGATGTCGATGTTGACTGGCGTGTGGGGAAAGGCCTCAAACACCTCTTGAAGGAGAGGGATGCGTTTGTCTTCACCTTCACACGGGCATTCTGAGGTACACAAGCAGAATTTGGTGGCTGCTGAGGATATGGGGAACTTATTGACAGATTGACAGTTCGCGTCTCACCGGCTCAAGGTTGACTCAGCCTTCCCGTCCTTCCAAGGTCGATAAAATGAGGACCCGGATTGTTGAGGGCAAGGGGCTGACTCTGTAAACCACTCATAGAAGGCTGTAAAATACCGTGAAGCGGTATATAAATCTAAGTACTATTGCTATTGCTTCCTTCCTTTCTCTCCCTCCCTTTTCCTTCCTTCCTTCCTTCCTTCCTTCCTTCCTTCCTTCCTTCCTTCCTTCCTTCTCCTTTCCTTGCTTCTCCTTCCTTGTTATGGTGGCACAGTGGTTAAAATGCAGTATTGCAGGCAAACTCTGCCCACCATCAGGAGTTTGATCCTGCCCGGCTCAAGGTCAACTCAGCCTTCCGTCCTTACGGGGTCGATAAAATGAGGACCTAGATTGTTGGGGGCCATACACTGATCCTGTAAATTGCTTAGAGAGGGCTGTAAAGCACTGTGAAATGGTATGTAAGTCTAAGTGCTATTGCTATTGCTTGCTTGCTTCCTTTCTTTCTCTCCCTCCTTTTTCTCCTTCCTTCCTTCCTTCCTTCCTTGTCATGGTGGTGCATGGTTAGAATGCAGTATTGCAGGCAAACTCTGCCCACCGTCAGGAGTTCGATCCTGCCCGACTCAAGTATTATAAGTCTAAGTGCTATTGCTATTGGCAGCTGCCCTGGGCCGGTGGGCACCCAGATCCCCCATAGAAATAACCCTGGATTTGTAACTCTCAAAAGACAGATGACGGTGCAAACCCTTCTCATTTGGGTCTGTCTCCAAGAGCTGGTCCCATCTCAATGTCTTCCAGGAGAAGGACCCTGGGACATTCTCACATCCAGAACATTCTCGCTGCATTGCTGGAGAGCTAAAACATCCATCCTGGCGGCTATTCAATGAATCTGCCACAGTTGGATTCACACAAGGCTGAGCTGACATGTAAACCCTATCAGTAAAAAAAGAGGAAAATGGAGGAATCCCAGCATACGAGTGATCCTGGATATTTTTTTTTTAGAGCAGGGGTTCTCAACGTTGGCAACTTTAAGATAGGTGGACTTCAAGTCCCAGAATTCCCCAGCCAAAAATGCTTTTAAGATTGATGGACCATTTGCATTTAAAAGACAAAGGCCGCTCTTTCGAAGACAGCAAAGTCCACATTTTGGACAGGGAGGACCAGTGGTTTGAAAAAGGGGTCAAAGAGGCCATCTGGGTCAAAATTGAGCAGCCCTCCCTCAACGGAGGGGGAGGGACACAACACCATCTATCTCCAGTCGACAACATGGTGCTTTCAGCAGTTCCAAGAAGGCTCCACACCCATTTGCACCACTCAGGTGACCCTGAGGACACAGACAAACCTCCAAGTGGCCTCAAGGATACTCTAAAACAGGGGCGTCAAACTCAATTTCATTGAGGGCCGCATCAGCATTGCGACTGCCCTCGGGGTGTGTGTGGCCAGGGTGGGTGCAGCCTACTGGGTGGGCGTGGATGGAGTGGCTGTGGCCTACTGGGCGGGCATGGCCAGCTCTACATCGTTCGCGTCAAGGGTGCCTGTGGGGGGCCTGGGCAGGAGTGGGACAGATCTGAGGGTCTCTGGCAGAAGGGGGTGGGACCGGGGCAAGCACCAAGGCATGGTCCATTTCTTCATTCCTCAGCATGCACCCAGCATGCACCCAGGGGGTGGGGGCGACACGGCAGGGGCTGGTTCCTTGCTGTTTCCAGACGGCCTTGTGGAGCTAAGACTGAATGCGTTTCAGCATAGACGGCCACCACAAAATTGTACATTGGCTCCCGGCCGGCCTAGGCCAGGGCCAAGGCAGCGGGGGCCATTCCCTCACTGTTTCCATGATGGCTTTGCGGGCCACATGAAACCATTTCACGGGCCGCATCCGGCCCCCGGGCCTTGTGTGTTTGACATGTCTGCTCTAAAAGAAGGCAAATGACCAGTGGTCTGCAAGGAATATAAATCCTTCCATTCCCCACCCTCCAGTCATAGCTGAAGAAGCTTCTGGGATGAGAAGTGAAGAAAGGAAAAAGAAAAACAAGAAAGTCCAGTTGCCTTGTGAAAAAGCACCTTTGGGACAACCATGACCTGGATGACTGAGGATCTTCATGGACTCTCAACTGCTTTGAAAGTATGATGTTAAAGAGAGCAACAGACACTCCAATTTCAAGTTAGGAATGCTGATAGACCAGGCTGCAATGTAGCAATAACCCCCCCCCCAAATGCATATTCTGCAAACATTCAGATCTTCAAATTATTACCTCTCTGGAAAGTGACATCCAACTTGTAGAGATACGGAGGGAGTTCCTTTGAAAAGAAGAAAATGTCAGCTTAAATACAGAGAGGTTCAGAGACGTAAAATCAGAATAAACTTTATCCAAGGTCACTTTGCTTTAATCCCTCAACGTTCACTAGAAATCGTTAGTGCTTATACAGGTAGTCCTTGATGTAGGATCCCAATTGGGATAAGAACTTCTGTTGCTAAATAATAATAATAATAATAATAATAATAATAATAATAATAATAATAACAACAACAACAACAACAACAACAACAACAATAATAATAAAGTTGGAAGGGACCTTGGAGGTTATCTAGTCCAACCCCCTGCTCAGGCAGGAAACCCTATACCATTTCTGACAAATGGCTGTCCAGTCTCTTCTTAAAAACTTCCAGTGTTGGAGCATTCACCGCTTCTGGAGGCAGGTTGTTCCACTGGTTAATTGTTCTAATTGTCAGGAAGTTTCTCCTTAGTTCCAGGTTGCTTCTCTCCTTGATTAGTTTCCATCCGTTGCTTCTTGTCCTGCCTTCAGGCACTTTGGAGAATAGCTTGACTGCCTCTTCTTTGGGGCAACCCCTGAGATATTGGAACACTGCTATCATGTCCCCCCTCGTCCTTCTCTTCATTAAACTAGACCAGTGGTGGCGAACCTATGGCACGGGTGCCAGAGGCGGCACTCAGAGCCCTCTCTGTGGGTACACGTGCCGTTACCCCAGCCTTGCCTCCCCCCGGGACCCCCTCACCAGCAGCCCTTCTGGAGAAGAGTCACCCCCAAGCGTGGCCCACGCGGAGCAGTGCAGCCGAGGACATGGCAGCCAGGCAGCGTAGACAAGACTCTGCCCTCACGCCCCATTGCGCACAGTTGATGCTGCGGGGCACAGGCAGAGGGCGTGGCTGCCTTGGCGCTGCTGGGCGATCTGCGGCAGGCCCTGGAGGCGATGAGTGGCCCTGCGGGCAGGCGGGGTGGGGGCGGGGCAGGGGGTGGAGGAGGGGCGGGGCCAGGTTTTGGGCACTCGGTCTCTAAAAGGTTCGCCATCACTGACCTATTCATTGTAAGCCTGAATCACTTGGGCATGCTTACCCTCTGACACTTAAAGGCAGGAGCTGAGGCCCTGGGAGTTTGGCAAGGCTGTGGGTACCGTCTCTCGACCGGCTGATGGCCTTTGGCAAACAAAAGGAAGAGAAGGGTGCTTACTTGAACTTACTGAGTATTTGAGGTCGGCTATATTGACGTCCACCCCGGTCGACCGCTTCAGATTCCTGTCGTGCAACACCACCACTTGTTCATCCTTGGTTAAATGGCAGTCAAGTTCCAGCATATCGGTGCCCATGTTGACTGCGCTGAAAACAGAGGACAACAGTTAAAGTTTTCCCTTTTCGGATTCAGACCGATCGTGCACACGTATAGAGAGGAGTTAAGAGAATAACAGAATTAACAGAGTTGGAAGGGACCTGGGAGGTCTTCTAGTCCACCCCCCTGCTCAGGCAGGAGACCCTATACCAGAGGTAGGCAATGTTGGCTCTTTTATGACTCGTGGACTTCAACTCCCAGAATTCCTGAGCCAGCCATGCTGAGGAGAAATGGAGAGGTTTCCATGCTGAGCCATGCCGGCTTAGGAATTCTGGGAGTTGAAGTCCACGAGTCATAAAAGAGCCAAGGTTGCCTACCCCTGCCCTAGACCATTTCAGACAAATGATTGTCCAATCTCTTAAAAACCTTCAGTGTTGGAGCACCCACAACTTCTGGAGTTAAGTTGCCACGGCCTAGCTTTGAGTGAAGGCCAGTGCAGGCCTGGAAGAGGATAACCATGTATTCAGGGGATGCGCCAAAGATCCAGGGATTGTGGGTAGGTGATCAGCTAGTTAGGGTTCAGAGCAATTGTAGAGAGTAAAAAGATTCCCTTAATAGAAATGTGTCAAGATGGATGGACTTCAAGTCCCAGAATTCCCCAGCCAGCATGCTTTAAGAGGGGTGGACTTCCACTCCCAGAATTCCCCAGCCAGCCTGCTTTAAGATGGTTGGACTTCAAGTCCCAGAATTCCCCAGCCAGCCTGCTTTAAGATGGTTGGACTTCAAGTCCCAGAATTCCCCAGCCAGACTGCTTTAAGAGGGGAGGACACACTCCCAGAATTCCCCAGCCAGACTGCTTTAAGATGGTTGGACTTCAAGTCCCAGAATTCCCCAGCCAGCTGAAGTCCACCCATCTTAAAAATTGCCAACACTGATAAACATTGTTTTTAAAAATAAACAGGTTCCATATGGGAAGTACAGGTGATCCTTGACTTATGACCAGTTATTTAGCTACCATTCATAGTTACAACAACCCCCAAAAAGGGACTTATAACCCAGATTCAAAGATCCAATGTAGTAATCTGATCAAACTTCACATGTAACAGCTGTTTGCAGCATCCCCCAGTCATGCAATCACATTTTATGACCGTTTTGCTGAAAACCTACACTTCTTGCTTCTGGCAAAACTGCACCTATAACAAACCACTGGTTAACCACCGTGATGTTTGCTTAATGACCGCTGCAGAAAACATCCCAAGATACGACTGTTAACGAGCAGGCTCCATTACGCTCGTATGTTGAGAATTATATGTAGTTCAGTTGCTGTAGTCCTTATAACCTTTATTTCTTCCAGTTCGATAAGTCCTTGGAAACAGGCTATTTTTGGTCTGGGCAATGCCCAAGGTGGTGATAACAGCCCCTTGAGTCATCAACATTTCCAGGTACGAGCTGAAGCTGCTGACGTTCAGCCCAAAGAGAACTGCTCTGTAAACAATGCTGCAGGCGGAGAGAATAACCCGAAGCCCAGCAAATCAAGAGAGGAAGAAAAGCTTGATCCAAGTTATCTGATAAAAGATTCAGCAGGTTATTACACACAAACCTGCCTGTCTGCCATTATAACAAAATAACAGAAAGAAGAGTTGGAAGGGACCTTGGAGGTCATCTAGTCCAACCCCCCACTCAGGCAGGAAACCCTAGACCAGGGGTAGGCAACCTTGGCTCTTTTATGACTCGTGGACTTCAACTCCCAGAATTCCTGAGCTAATCCTAACCCTACCCCTGCCCTAGACCATTTCAGACAAATGGCTGTCCAGTCTCTTTTTAAAAGAGGGGGGACATGATAGCAGTGTTCCAATATGTCAGGGGCTGCCCCAAAGAAGAGGGAGTCAAGCTATTTTCCAAGGCGCCTGAAGGCAGGACAAGAAGCAAAAGATGGAAACTAATCAAGGAGAGAAGCAGCCTGGAACTAAGGAGAAACTTCCTGGCAGTTAGAACAATTAACCAGTGGAACAACCTGCCTCCAGAAGCGGCGAATACTCCAACACTGGAAGTTTTTAAGAAGAGACTGGACAGCCATTTGTCCAAAATGGTATAGGGTTTCCTGCCTGAGCAGGAGGTTGGACTCGATGACCTCCAAGGTCCCTTCCAACTTTATTATTACTATTATTACTATTATTACTATTACTACTATTACTACTACTACTACTACTACTACTACTTCCAGTGTTGGAGCATTCACAACTTCTGGAGGCAGGTTGTTCCACTGGTTAATTGTTTTAACTGTCAGGAAGTTTCTCCTCAGTTCCAGGTTGCTTCTCTCCTTGATGAGTTTCCATCCGCTGCTTCTTCTCCTGCCTTCAGGCGCTTTGGAGAATAGCTTGACTCCCTCTTCTTTGGGGCAGCCCCTCAAATATTGGAGCACTGCTATCCTGTCACCCCTCATCCTTCTTTTCATTAAACTAGACATACCCAGTTCCAGCAATGAGAACGGCCTAGGTAGGAAAACATGTAGAAAAATCAGGATTCTTTTTTCATATACTGGTAGGGAGTTTATAAAACTGTTCAAAATGGACATCTGGGTGGTCCTTCAGTTACAACCATTCCTTTAGTGACCGTTCAAACTTACAACGGCACTGAAAAAAAGGGACTCATGACCATTGTTCATACTTAACAACTGTTGTAGCGTCCACATGGTCACGTGATCCAAATCCGGACACTGGGCAACTGGCTCATATTTACGACACGGTTGGAGGTGTCCCAAGCTCATGTGATCCCCTTTTGAGATCTTCTGATACGCCAGATTCCCTTAACAAGCTGTCTTCCTAACTCAGGGGTAGGCAACCTTGGCTCTTTTATGACTCGTGGACTTCAACTCCCAGAATTCCTGAGCCAGCATGAGGAAACTATGGCCTCTTCATGACTCGTGGACTTCAACTCCCAGAATTCCTGAGCCAGCATGAGGGAACTATGGCCTCTTCATGACTCGTGGACTTCAACTCCCAGAATTCCTGAGCCAGCATGAGGGAACTATGGCCTCTTCATGACTCGTGGACTTCAACTCCCAGAATTCCTGAGCCAGCATGAGGGAACTATGGCCTCTTCATGACTCGTGGACTTCAACTCCCAGAATTCCTGAACCAGCATGGGGGAACTATGGCCCCTTCATGACTCGTGGACTTCAACTCCCAGAATTCCTGAGCCAGCATGAGGGAAATATGGCCTCTTCATGACTCGTGGACCAACTCCCAGAATTCCTGAGCCAGCATGAGGGAACTATGGCCTCTTCATGACTCGTGGACTTCAACTCCCAGAATTCCTGAACCAGCATGGGGGAACTATGGCCCCTTCATGACTCGTGGACTTCAACTCCCAGAATTCCTGAACCAGCATGGGGG